GGGTGGGGGGTGGCAGTCCTGTGTGCGCACTTTCTCCAGCCCATTGGGCTGCTCCCCAGATGCACCCGCCACTATGGCTTCTCCCCACACTCCCAGGGTCTGGAGAGACCCCCCCCCAATCCTGTTGTCCCTTCCAGGACATGTGGTTGCTTTAAATCCCTCTGCCTCGTCTACGTCAGGTTGATTTAAAGGTTCTAGGCAGACTCAGACCAAGACTCTCTTCCCTGTCCCAGGGATTCTCAAGCTGGAGGCTCCGGGGGCGTCTCTGAGAAGTTCTCCTCTTGCATCAGCACACTGCCTTGAGGGCTGTTACCCCCTCACACCCCTCTGCCCTTTCCTGTCCCTTCAGCCTCTTCAAGCCTTGATTTCTTGTGAAACAATCCAGCCCCTCAATGTCTCCCTTGCTCCTTCCAAGCCAGCACAGTAACCCATCTTCTTGCCCTTCCAGGTGGTCAACTTGTCCTGTACCCAGAGGTCGCGGAAGGGGTGGCCATCCCCAGAGGTCACAGAAGCTGAAGAGCCTGGACCAATGAGCTCAGCAGTCCCAGGTGAGTGCAAAGAGACTCAGCCCCTGGGCTCTTTGCCTGGGCAGCCTCAGGGGCCTCCACACATGACTTACTTGATGATGAGACCCAGGGAAGCTATGGAGCCAACATTTGGGGACATTCCTAGAAGGCTTGGCCCTAGGCAAGGAATGCTGCCCATCACAGAAGTTACAGGGAGAGACAGAGCCACTTAAGTGAGCCCACTTCCCACCTCGGTCCAGATCTCTAAGCAGGACTTAGGGCTCAGGCCTTACTTGGTGGGACTCACTGTTCCTCTCTATCTCCCTCTCCTGGGCCATTTCCAGCTTCCGGAGGGTCCAGAGGGAGGTGTAATGTTAAGGAGGTCTTCTGCTGGCTCAGTTTCTCTATGTAACTAGACTTCACCATAGGATGGATAGGAGAAGTTCTAGGTTACTTTTTTTTTTTGAGGGGCAAGGTGTCAAACCTTAAATGTACCTACTTTTCCCATTACCCAGCAAAGTCCCTTGTTTTGTTTCACTCCCTTTCTGAGCTTCAGAGTCATACCATGGTTCTTAGTGGAGAATTCAGTTCAGTGCTTGGCAGAGAACTTTTTTTTTTTTGGTACCGGGGATCGAACTCAGGACCTTGTGCTCTACCACGGAGCTACACCCCCAGCCCCTTGACAGAGAACTTTGAAACTCCAGGGCTGTCTGATTTGGGAGGAAAGGAGAAACTGAACTACCTGGCTAACCCTTGGATGCCATAGGAGCCAAACATAGGAAGGTGCCAGAAATCTTAGAGGGCAGAGCAGAAAAGCACATTACCCTGAACATCTTCCAATGATTATGCCACAAAACTATTTGCTATCTTAATTAAATGATTGCCATGTGGATGTTTTGAAATTTTTATACCTTGAGAATAGAACTCAAATAATTAGTAAATGGATTGGAATCCTCTATAATTCCCACCATGTAAAGTGAGGAGGAGGCTATCAGGTTGTTTGATTGGCTGTGTCTAATTTCTTTTAATCTCCTCTCCTTGGATATAGGGATCTGACGTTTACAGCATATGTCTTTGGTCAATAGGGTTTTGTTAATTCCAAGAGTTTTAAGATCTCTCTCTTCCTCCCATGCATTGGTATTTTAATTGCATTGTAAAGAAATCTAGAAAAATAATATTGGAAAGGGATGAATTTCTTGCCTGAAGGGTAATCTCTTCTAATTATGTTTGAAGAATCCATGGATGGGTTAATCTTCAAACTTAGATGTAATAAGTAGCATGCTGGAAAGCTGGAAAGAATCATAGAGTATATGCCTATATACCAATCTCTTTGTTTTATAAATTAAGAAACAGGTTAAGTGAGGTTAAGTGATTTTTACCAAGATCACACAACTGAGTCTCCAACCCACATTTTTTATTGTCTACTCTAGGTTCTTTGCTTAATCACTAAGTATTTCCTATCATTACCAAATAACAGAGGTATTCTATAAACACAGTCCAGGGTGTTATACCAAATTCCTTTCCAAAGTGACTTGCATCTGGGGTGTCAGTGTTCAAAGAAAAATTTACAAAAATGTTCTTCTGCTAGCAAACAGCATTCTGGGGCTTCACCATCACTAGAAGGGTAAGCAGGGCTCTCTTCTCTCCCCCTCAACACTCCCTAGACCTCCAGGCCTCCTGATTGCCTTGGGTGGCTGAGGAAGTCATCGGCACCAGAACCTTGCTGTGTCATAGAATCCCCATGTCCTCTCTTTCTAAACCTCTAATAGCAGGAAGCAGTTCCACCAGGCGTAGGCCCCTCTCTCCTTCCTCTCTTCTGGGTGGTAATTTGATTGACATTCTTCTTGTGCTGGGCTCCATTGTGAGCTGTTAGGAGGGTAGGATGGCCTGGTTTGCTTTACAAGCAAGAAGCCAGACTGCAGATGTAGCTCAGTGGTAGAGCACTTGCTTGGTGTGTGTGAGCCCTGGGTTCAATCCTCAGCACTAAAAAATAGCAAAAGGGGCCCTTAGAAAGAAGCTTTGCACCAAGGGTAGATCTGTTGGATCCTTGTGCCTCTGGTATTCTTTTTAGCATGCTGTAGTAAATTGCCTGCTCAGAGGGTAGCTCCTTGGCATGGTCAGTTTTCAGCTTCTGATTTACAGAAGCTTCAGATGTACTGCCAACCCCTGGATCTAACTTCACTGCTTCAGCTTTCCATATTCTCACCATTTAATGCCATATTAATCACATCCTCAGAATATGGGAGTATAGCCCTGCTCTGGGGCTATCACAGACGAGTTATTCCAATGCCCTTTCCATAGAGGCTTCTGCCTTTGCTTCCCCACTGCCCCTCTTCGAGGTGCACTTACTGGCAACTTCTAACTAGGAAATAAGATTTACTTTTCTGTTTTAAAAAAGAGACAGGTTGGGAGGAAGAAGAATGAAATGGGGTAAAAGCTACAACTCGGTTTAAAAGCAAAACAAGGGTAACTAGCCATGGAAAGAATTAAGAGCTAATTCTATTTCATTTTAACTCCTTGTGTTTGTGAGGTTGAAGAAGACAGTTATAGCTCTGTCTATAAACTAAGTGCTGGAAAGCTTAGACCCTACTGTTGATGCATTTACTCAATACATGTTGAATGTTTATTCAACAAAAGTTTACTGAGCCCCTCTACTATGTGCCAGGCCTCACTGTAGGCATTGGAGATATAAATTATTTTCCCTTTGATAATCTGATGAATGCTAGGACCTTATTTCCAGCAGAATGAGGGAATAAAAAAAAAACCAAACATTTTAAAAATAATTTAAGGGATGCATGACCTCCTTAGGAGCAACAAACCCCAACTTAATTTTTTCTTCATCTAACCCAGGCCTACATTTTACAATATTGAGATCTGAACTTAAGGTCCATAATCAAATCTTGGTTTTTAGTGATTTTTTTATTTTTTTCCCCTCCCAGCAGTTTTTTTTTTTTTTTTTTTTTTTTTTTTTTTTTTTTTTTTTTTTTTTTTTTTTGGTACCGGGGATCGAACTCGGGATCTTGCACTGGGCTGGCACAGCAGGCGGCGGAACCACTGAGCTAAATCCCTGGTCCCACTTGTTGTATTTTAACTGTGGTTTTGGTCTCTCTTTTTTGCAGAAAAAAGGAACTTAGTTAATAATGCAAATGGGTAGAATAAATACTGAACAGCCCATTGGTAACTGAGAAGGAAGGTAGATGTGAAATTGAGAGACAGAACAGATGAGAAATTTGATGACCAAACCCACCCTGGTCCTGCAGAATTCCCAAGAGAGGATGCATCTTCTAGGTTAAGTGTTCTTGGCAAAGATTGGTGGTTTAGTGGAGAGAAGACAGTTTGCATTGGAACTGGACAGTGTAAAGTCACAATGTTGGGGCCCCTGACAAAGATGCGTTTCCTAGGGGGGGTTTCGACTGCAGGCCGAATTGCAGTTAGACAGGCCAGGATTCCTTGAGAAGGAGGACCAAGCCCCTTTCCGGCCTTGTAGGCTTGGTGGGCTGAGGACTCCCATGAAGCACAGCAATGGGCTGACGGCTGGTAGTTCTTTTGAGGTCTTCATTGAGGGGGAAAGTGGAAGTCTTAAAGGCCCAACCCAGACACAGAGAGGTTTTTATCTTATCTCTGAATCTTTCAGCTGGTTTTTTTCTTTCCCTTCCTATAGTACCTTCAGAGTTTTTCCAAGTCATGAGAAAAGTCTTCTAAGAATCATGCTTTTCATTAAGGAAAGTGGGCTTTCACTGACTTTCATACTGATCAGATACTAATGCAAACTGTGACTCGGGTGGAGGGAGTTAGATGCCCTTATTCCAAATGCCCAGGGTAAGCAGCCAGTGGAAATCACTGCTGCGTGGTGACCCTGGACGTGAAGGGATCCATCTTTGAAAGACAGAGGAGGATCTGAAGTTGTAAAAGCTTTCTGTAAGATTTTGGAGGACAGGGCCAGGGATTTAGCTCAGTGGTTTCCCTGCCTGCTGCGCAAGCGCAAGAACCCAAGTTCGATCCCAGGTACAAAAAAAAAAAAAAGATTGTGGAGGACAAGGTGAAGGGTATGGATTTCTGCTTCAGTGAGAAATCAGCAGCTTGCTGCTGCTGGGGTTAAAGTATAGGAAAATCCATACAAATACAAACTGATCCTTTTCATGTTCTCATCTGTAAAATGGGGGTAATAATACTAACACCTATGATGTCTTGATGAGGATTAAATGAGATTATGCATGTAAAGTGCTTTGAACCTACTCCGTGCTTAAAAAATATTATTATTGTGATTATAATTATGTCTAGGGTTTTTTTTCCCTGTGTGACAGATATAGCAATGTCATACAAGGCTTAGATCACAGAAGCAACAGCCATAGGACCAGAGCTATTCCCAGACTGACAGATAAAAGATAATCTTTTCTGGAAGCATCTGTCCATTTGCCCCATAGCCTGCCAGTGCCCAGGATTACCCAGCTGGGAGCAAATCAGGAGGACTGATAGGAAAATCTTTTTTTCTACTTTATATGCTCCTACCAAAGATTATCTCTTTCTAGTTTCATTTCCCCTTTTAATTCCTTCTTTTATGGTCTTTAAAAAAAATTGAATTTAATCACAGTTGTTTTTGCAAATCTCTTTATTTTTTTTCCCCTCACTTTTTGATCAGGAGAAAAAGTGACTCAATATTCTTGCCATTCACTTTTTATTTTCAGCGTATAGATCTAGTCCTAAATTTGCAGAGTTTAGGCAATTTCAATCTAGGAAAGAACAAAGGAGAACTAAAAAAGGCAAGAATAGATGACATTCTGCTGTCATGAATGATGCTGCTCCTTTCTTTTTTATGCATGTTGCATCTTCCTTCTTTCCTTTTCCTAACTTCACTTTTCAGTGTCTTATAAATCTTTTCATTGCCTATTAGGATCCCCCTACTCACCTTAAAAATCACTGTCCTTGTCCTCTTGATCCATTTAAATTGTGCCAGCAGGCATTTCTGTTTTAAGTCTTGGCTGCGAAGTGCAGGGGTGATTATAGGAAAAAGCCGATGGAGTCTCTAAGTTTTCTGAGTAACA